ACGACGAGCTAAGTAACTGCTAAAAACTTAAGAAATTCTCATCCGTTGCGTGTAGAGCTGAATCGAGTAAGCGTGCGTGTCATCAGGTTTTCCCAATAGAAAGTCTTGTAATATTCCTCAAAACCCTAATTTATTTCACATGTGAGCGTGTCTGAGAAAAACTGCTGAATTAACGGTATCATTGGGCATATTCACGGATGTTTTTTGATAAACACAAAGAAACTCCTTTTTCTTCAAAAATGGGAAGCAGTATTATTACCCGCACGACGTTTGGCTCTGAAAAAATCACTCTAACAAAACCAAAAATCATTTTAGCCAGGTATTTTGTCTTCTTGTGGGATGTATCACTTTTTAAGTTGATTGAACTTCCTGCTTTTGAACACCCAGGTCACAGGGAGTACAAATTTGTTCATCGCTCCATAATATGAAAGTTTGCAGGGGGTCATGCACAGATCTCGGGAGAACCTGACCTAGAAAGCGATGAGAGCCACACAATATGCCCATTGCAACTTACAAAGCGTCGTAAAAATTTACGTTTTACCATCGAAAAACGCCATCAACATCATTGTGATCATACCTTAGTTAGTGAGTTGGCTAAACACAAAACAACAGACGTCAACAAAGCACGTGTTACATGAAGCGAGAGACCTCACTGAACATTCCCAAAGGAAGCATTTTGACTAGATAACACAGAGGATCCTCAGTAAAAATCAATGTATTTACAGGGCAACAGCATTCAGTCGTAATTGTGTACAATATATGATAGCTTTTTGCTACGTACTTTTGTTCCAAGGTAGACAAACAAGCAAAGCGTCATGTGGAATAACGCTCGCGTTCTGACGAAAACAAAATGGAAATCTGGAATGTATACATTTCCTATAATGGGTTATTTTTACTGATGCGTTGATAGCAGTGGTGTAGTTATACGACCCAGTTGTTTAGTATTCAGTCACGGTTGCACATTAGCACAGAAAATAAGACGGAAAATAACCGTGTCTGTTCTGAAACAGGGTGAATTCTTGCCGAACAAAATCGTCACAGCAAATACGGACGATTATGACTTATCTGTTACACCCAATTGGTACAAATTACATAATTATCTGTCGTTCCAAACAACAAGTGTGTTTGTACTTTGGTGACAACCTGATCATGCACTAGGTAATGAATTACAAAACAACAGACCACCAAGAAACGCGAATTCATCACATGAAGCGAGAGACCCCACTGAACGTTCTCGAAGGAAGTATGTTGATCTGATGACGCAAATGATTCTTGGTAAAAGCCAATATATTTACAGGGCGATAAGACTCAGACTTTATTGTGTGCAATACGTAGAAGTCCTATCTTCAATACTTTTGCACCGGATAATTTATAGCAACTGCTTTTTGTTCCACAAGACCTATATCTGTCTGAATTCAAGTGGACTCTGGCATTGGGCTTGAACAAAGAGCGTTCGGTACCGAAGGCAAGATGTCCCTGTGATATTCACCGATTGTTAGGTGGGCTGTTTGAACAGATCATTGGTTCTTCGTGGTGCATATTCCTACTGAGCTCTGGAGAAAAACATTTTCATAGATCCAAACAAGGAGCGTATAGCAACGGTCTTAGACACACTAAATCCTTTGTTTTACACACTTGACTTAGCATTAGGCACTCAGCATGGAACCCCAAAAGCCTAATCTAGTCTGGTTGATTGATTTGAGGCTGCCACGTCCTCGGAAAATGAACATCTAGCCGATTTATTTTCCCATATGGCTAAAATACTGGCGCATTGACCAAGTGACTTAATATCTGTAGGTAGTTCTTGCTCCTGACCCACTCGCAGTTGACTGGCATCATTGATCCTATAGGTATAACGAATTGCTCTTCATTTTATCAGACATAAAGCTCACAGTGATAAAATACTCACCATTTGTTTCGAGCATTTGGACGCAGCTCGGTCTGTGACAGTTGTCTTTTTACGTATTTCCAGGCTGAAGACATGACTTTGTTCGACTGAAATAATTTCGGGTGTGATTTATTGACTCTGATCGATTGAATAACCCGTTCCTGCGATTGTTGTTCAAAGCTCCCACCAGATGATCCACGAGTGCTTAGTAGCGAGGAAGTAAAGTTTCTCTGCCCAGCAGTAGCTGTTTGACGTTGTAGCTTCCGGCGAACGGGAGTCATTGGAGCCGATAACTGAGAAGGTTTGTCCATCTGTATTAATCTCTGTGGCATTCTTTCAAATACACTAGACTGTTCATCAGTAGTAGTGTCCAAATTAAGACTAGCCTCCAACTTCACGGTCGAACTGGCTCGGTTGATCGAATAATCACTTGCATCATAACTGCAGGATTCAGTGGACTTCGCACAATGCATGGGTTTTGGTGGCTGGTTAAACCTACTGCTCAAAGGTGAACGTGTAGGCAACGGTTTGTTTTGAGGGCTTGCAGCCGGAGGGTCTTTGTCCAAATTTGGGCTGCTGTGGCTGTTGTTCTCATAAAGATCCATAGCTTTATCCGAATTCTTAAACATAGTGTTCGTTCCTTTATACTCCATCTTAGTATCTGACCAAGAATGTTATACAAATTTGTGACATCTTCGCTTGCTCGCTCTTTTATTTGTGATTTATATTACCCACGATGTTTGAAAACACTAATCAGGTTGCGGTCGCCCGTCATTAGTCCCAAGCGCTGGACACAGCAGTATTTGTTCTGCGTGTATGTTAGTTGTATGTGTGTATGAGTTGTTTGTGTGTGGGATCACAGAGCATCTGATATAGTTTAGTCGGATTAGTCTGACCCACAATTCACCAATTGCCATCCGTCGGGTTGCAAGAACACATCCCCACATCGTTTTGCAAACGTTTCTCAGAAGTATCTAACATACAACAGGGTTTATTCTATCTTGCTTCAGAGAGGTGGAGCGTGTGCGTTGGATAAATGTCTGCTTAACAACAAATTGTATGCGAATGTTTAGTTACAAAACACTGGTGATTTATATTTCCAATCGTATTTTCTCAGCATTGATGGATCAATTTAAGACTTACTTCTGGTTCACTCGATGTGACGCCACACAAGTTTGATAAAAATTCTCCGATATACCATTACAGGTTTTGCCATTTTGAGACTCATTTAGAGCACCTGGTCACTGATTTCCTATCAGTAGTATTTTGTGCACAGACGTCACCTTCGCATTGGGTGGAGCTTAACACTTAGTTGGTAAAAGTAAAAGTTCATCCATTTTGTTGTTAACGTTCCCCAAATCATTGTTCTGCACTAAATGTATCTCAGGTTACATGCAGTGTGATATCAAGATGTCCTTTACACAACACTATTCATGAACTGTGGAAAGTGCGTTAAAAAGTTGGCATTTTTGGGCCTAAGAATCCAACACCTGAGCTGTTTCGTCTCAGTGTATTAATTATGAAAGGAGAAATATGATGAGCTTCCAGGAGAGCGATAATTTACCGAAATGAAATGAAAGTCGAACCATCTACAGGTGACCTTTTACTAGCTAGACGATACACTACAACAAATTATTATTCATTCTTTACAAACATGTATCAACCTGGCTCGGTTATGCGTTGCATTTTTTACTGCGGTAGTGTTAAAGAAGCCGTTGGAGTGTTGGAAAGCATCAATTAATTCTTTCACAATCACAACATGGGTTGTGGCCGGCAACAAGCTTGTCTCCGGAGGGGCTAGAGGAAGAAAGGGGGAAAGCTCGAGAAAACTTGACCGCCGCTCAGGAAAGGGACAGGCAGAAAACGGCAAATAGAAAGGCTCGACCATTCTCCTTGGATGCGAAAGTCAATTGGAAGTATCCTGTTGAACAGCATCAGTTAACTCTTTCACATTCAAGACATGTTAGCTCAGAACGTCTTTGATGGGTGAGTTTACATCTAGATAAAGTATACCACGAAATAGGCTATGGATGAAACCAAAGTCTTGAGAGCTGATAAGTGAAAAGGCAAACGACCACAGCACTAGTGGCCTTGGCAAGTGTGAAAAAAGTCGCATGGTGTGCACAGTAATCAAGCAATTATTTTGTCAGCACAGATAAACAGATGCCACTTGTTTTTTTTTACCTCATTCTACAATATCCAATCTCGCGCCTTTAGTCAACGCGACAAACGTTCTGTCGGAATCAAGGGTTCACATAAAGTTGAGGACCTTTGGGTTATAACTGTTTGTCCAGACTAAATGCACTCTTAACAAACTGTGCTTATGGTGACGAAGATCTTCAATACGATCTTCAATAATTTCATGAATTTGGCATTGCGCTTTGCAACAGAATACGACTGCGTTTCTACCCACAAAGTAAACTGAATTCCTCTGATACTATGGCGGACAGCAAAAACAGTTTGTAATCTTTGGGTACCAACACCGATTTCAAGGACATATATTTAAGATTTACTCGAATATTTAATAATTGTGGGTTTTGTTCCGAATTTTTGCAGTTTTCATGGCTTCCCTAGTGCAACCGGAGAAGCGATATTTTTGTTGCCCGATAGTTGTATTTTTGTGTCCAGCTTTCCGGTTGATTATCCTAACTATATCCCCAAGCACCCAGCACAGATCAATATCTCTACCAATTAGGTATCCTAGGCTGTTCTGATGAATAATTTTCAGGGGAGAAACACCGTGCTAAACCAAATTGTTTGCGTTGCTATAAACGCTCGCTACTGAGGAAAGAACTTTTAAGTTGATGGCTGCATTATCACTCCTGTTGATAAATACTGAAACGAAGCTCCATAAAAGTGCTAAACTATCTCTAATTTAAACTGCTTTTCTGCGTTAAATCCAAACTTGCTAACGAATTCACTTTTTACCACAACCAAAACTGAAAAGACGCTTTATTTTCGGGGCGTGGGGACATCTTCATTAGAAATGTGCCGCAAAATATCCAAAGTAAACCTGAGTTATTTCGATTCTGTTCACTGACCCATGGAGGGAAACAAACCGGTGTTTCAATTTTAGTGTCAAATTTTGTTAAAATAGAAGTAGCTTATAGAATTGATCAGTTTATTCAACGCCCAGTACATCGTATTCAGTTGGTCAAATTGTTAAGCTATCCATCATTCTATATCTTATGGAAAATACTGCTAAGGCTTGGTTGGAATGTGATGGATACCATCGAAAATATGAGTATATTTTCCTGGACACAACTTGGTCAACCGAACATTCCGCGGTCTTAATATTTGGATTATATTGCTTATTGTTTATATTCTACAATGCTAATGAACTCCATCTACGTGGGCAACTGATGCAAAACTACACAAACTGACTCATCTTATTATGTAGCAAACCTAATAATCGCTATAAACAAAACATCGTCTGCATAGCAGACGATTAAAGGAAATCTGGAGGTTTTCTGCGTCAAAACTGTAGAATGTAACACGCTTTTATAAGCATAAAATGTTATTACAGCTTTTTAACACATAACTGCTTCACAAGCCATATGAACATGAAAAATCTGTTTGAAAATTGGTAACCTTAATAATAACTATTAAAATTGTTGGATTGTGATACATTTTTTAACTAAATTATTGAACCCAACTTCAATTTTTCTTGACATTCTAGTCAGTTTTTACTTGAGTCGTTAGCCGATCTCTGTAAGCCATTTCTCCTTCCACTCGCAAGGAAAATTAGGTCCGCTGGGTTTAAAACGTCAACGCAAATGCACTTGGAACATCTATTACTGGAAAGAATCGACCCTCGACTTAACAGTCGAGTAAATGCGCACGGGATCATTGTTTCTATTATCCAGATTCTAGTCTGTATAGACTGATTACGGCTGATTTCTAGCCTTCACTCAGAAAATAACTGTGCGTCGTACTAAATGAAAAAAGTTGTTTTCTATGAAAGTGGAAGAATCCAGATATTTCTGGTTGTTAAAGATGTCCGTACGGTTGTCGTTTTGCAGAAGAAGTACTCTGAACATCAAATATTACTTCCGCACCACAAACGGAATAGTATTTAGTGTGGCCTGTGCGCCTGGGTCTCCTGACTCGGAGAATTTAACCTCTATCCTATCAGTCTTACTTCGCCATTTGATTAATCACGGTCAACTCCCATGTACGAGTAGACGTTATTGATTGGTATATCATTCATCGATCCCTCAACAACAAACATAGCGACCCTTTCAGGGAAGTAAAAAAGTTGACAATTCTATCGAATGAAGCCACCACAGCCGTTGCCGTCAACGATTGGTGACACTGACTCCAGGTTTTATCTGTATTTTCAGCACTTGTTGAAGGTGATACTACGCTGACATTTCATTCCACATAATATATTAATAAGGATCACACCACAATCGAGAGTAGTTGCGGACAAAGAAGGAAAGAATCATCTAAATTACTTGTGATCCAGTAGGTTCAGAACGTGGAAGAACCTACTGGTGGTAGGTCGAAATCCATGTGACAATTAAACTGAGCCAACTTGGACGAGCCACACCTTTCTTCTTTTTGGCCACCCCAAAAGTTCTGCAAATGAAGCGTTTTCGAAAAGCTCAGCTTGCATTTACGAATTATTCAAGGTTGAAGATTACCGTACCTTCAGTGTGACAGGAAACTTCAGGTCGATTCTATCCCGCCCCTAATTGAGAAGTGTTTTCCGGGAATTGGTTCATTAATCCGCATTAAATTAGTTGACACTGCTCCATGTACGCAGTGCAGATTCCCACGGCTGTCCATCGGAGTTTTAAAATACACTCGTCAAATGAACCTCATATTTGGAATAAATCGATAAATACCGTCTGTGCTGGTCACGTTATTTAGGTTATTTTGTGAACAAATAATGTAACACATTGATTAACTGCACCTTGATAAACTAACATGTTGGTGTCACGTAACAACAGAAACAATATTGGTTTAGTTCTCTTGCCCATAAACGCTCAGTTCAAACTGAGTGCTTGGCCTATTTAGTTCTGAAATTGCTGTTTACAGGCAGTTGTGCTGATTTGACAGTTGTTTTCTTCCACTGTTTTACATCAACTTTGCTTGAGCAACTTTCCTTCTGACACAACCAGGTCAGTTATTGCTAGGTAAAACACAGGTGAATGGATTTACTGTAGTGAAACAACTAGTTGAGTTGTATTTTCTGTACTCCTTAAGTTTTACAGAACCTAGGGAGCAAAACATTGTCTTTACCCTAAACAATGCTTGCAAAAAACATTATTTTTCTTAGCTATCCAATATTTTCTTCTAGAGTTATTGCAACTCATTTCTGGACTTTATCGTGACGCCATTATTCTGCTTATTCCTTTTTATATGTTCATGGCTTTCCTTCACATATTCATTACATTTTCTATGAATTACTAACGAATAGTGACTTTTGGATTCGCATATTAGGGGATCAACTAACATCTCTTTCTGCCGATTTTCTTATTTAGCGAATTATTCTTACTCAGCCTTTACGCCTGATAATTTCTTATAATTTTTAGGACAACCTGAATAATTGCTGATTAATAATTCAGTGGGATATCACTTTATTTTGTTGGTCCTAACGTCTTTTGTTATTTTATACACCGAAAGAAGCATTCAAGAGAAAAATGCT